TGGAATTTATTAAACTTTTCCCTCCTCACCCTTTGCCTAAAGGTACCCAGAAGTAGATTCCATTCACATGGTGCTCTTTTCAAACAGACCTTGTTCCTCAAACCGAATTTTTATAGCAATGCTCACGCTGTGCTCCCCCCACACCAGAAATAGAGACTTGCCTGCAATTGCCAGAGTCTTCTGACACCTAGCACCCCCAGGCTCAGATAGCAGCTGGACATGTTGCAAAAGGAACCATGACTGATGCTAGAAAATAGTCTATTTCATCCGTATCTAATTACCAAAATCAGTTGTGTATAAACAAATATTCCCAACAGAAATACCAAGACTTACACTTTCTGGGAAAGAACACTTAGTTGATTTTGTTCAGGTGATATATGAAATGGGTCAGGGATAGGGTCAGGAAGAAGGGAATTCAGGGTGGCAACAGTGGAAAAAAACAACACAGAAATGATAAAGAGCTTGATGTGTTTAGGGAAAAGTAAGCCTACGTGGCTGGACAGAGGAGTTCAAATGTGTGTTGGAGGTGGCAGTGGTTGAGGAGAGGGAAACATGAGTAAGGGAGAGTAAGAGATATAACTAAGGAGAAGACTTTGGAACTGGGTTTTAAAAGGTCTTGTATGACATGTTAAGTAGTTTAGACCTAGTCACAAAAGGCTCAAATTAGATGCACGGCTCAGATTCTAAAATTCAGAAGGTAACAATATGAAGCCATAGTATTATGGAGATTAGATTGAAAGGGGATATATTGGAGGAAGCAGTGACTGAAGATAAGGGGGGATATTGTAAAGGGTATGTACAAAGACTGTGGCAGTACTGATGAATGTTCCTAACTGACAGAAATGACTCCCTAATCTCACTTGGCATTCACATCCTTTCATAATCTGGTTCCAATCTTTTGTGTAATCCCAATGCGTCCCTGTGCAAATCCCGAATCCCAACAATACTGATTGGCTCTTTCCCCCAAATACATAAAATGTTCTGCCTACATACTGTTCCTTCTACCTAGAATTCCCCTGGTCCTGCCCACCTAAGGCCCAACTTAATTACCACCTCTTGATTTATTTCTCCCTCACCTGTTATAGCATTTTATTCATATTCTCAATCTCTTCTACATATTTTGTATCCTTGCTTGCATTACATTCCTTATTTTATATTCTGTCCACTAAGTCTCCCCAAGTGCCTGGTACCTAGCAAGTATCTGTTATGAACTGAACTGTGTCCCCCCCGACACCAAATTCATATATTGAAGCCCTAACCCCCAACATGACTGTATTTGGAGATAGAGCCTATAGGAAGGTAATTAAGGTTAAATGAGGTCATAAGGGTGGAGCCCTAATCCTACAGAACTGGTGTCCTTTATAAGAGGAATAGACACCAGACATCTCTCTCCCACTCTCTGGGCACAAAGAGGCCATATGAGAACACAGCAATGAGGCTGCAATATGCAAGCCAGGAAGAGACGGCGAACCAGAAACCAACTCTGACAGGACTTTGATCTTGGACTTTGAGCCTCTGAAACTGTGAAAAAATGAATCTGTTGTTTAAACCACCCACTCCGTGGAATTTGTTATGGCAGCCCTAGCAGACTAATACAATATCCAATAAATTCTTGCTAAATGAGTTGTTCAAATGGAATCCTAGCCACTCTATTTTAAACATTTCTTTTCTGGATTTTATTTCATTTTAGAAACAGTATATTTTCCAGGAGTGTTAAGTCCAACTTTTATAATGGAAAAATAAGAATTGCAAAAACTTAAAATACTTTCAAAACTCTTAAGCTTTAAAACATGCACATACTTGGAGAAAAATCAGGACAGTAGTTGTAAGAGGGGAGGAGGAGGGATATACGGGCAGGGATTGACTGGGAAGGGGCATGGGAACTTTTGGAGGTGACAGTATTATTCTCTACGTTGGTAGAGGTTTGTACTACAGGTATAGGTAAATGTCAAAAGAATGGTACGCTTAAGATTAGTGCATTTCAGGGCGCCTGAGTGGCTCAGTTGGTTAAGCTACTGCCTTCGGCTCAGGTCATGATCCTGGAGTCCCGGGATCGGGTCCCACATCGGGCTCCCTGCTCAGCAGGGAGTCTGCTTCTCCCTCTGACCCTCTTCCCTCTCGTGCTCTCTATCTCTCATTCTCTCTCTCTCAAATAAATAAATAAAATCTTTAAAAAAAAAAAAAAAGATTAGTGCATTTCACTGCATACAAATTTTACAGAATGAAAGTGAACAAATATTCAATTATAGTTAATGATATGAATAGTGACATGTTCAGGAGTGAATATGGATGTTTGCAACCTATTTTGAAATGCATCAAAAAAATAAAAAAGGGGGTGGCCCGTGGTGGCTCAGTTGGTTAAGCATCTGCCTTGGGCTTGGGTCGTGATCCTAGGGTCCTAGGATCTAGTCCCGCATCAGGGGCCCTGCTCCATGGGGAGCCTGCTTCTCCCTCTGCCTCTACCTCTCTCATGAATAAAATCTTTAAAAATAATAAAATAAAATAAAATAAATAAGATAAAAAGGCAGGGGCGCCTCAGTGACTCAGTCAGCTAAGCCTCTGCCTATGGCTCAGGTCATGATCCCAGGGTCCTGGGACTGAGTCCCCCCATCGGGCTCCCTGCTCAGCAGGGACTCTGCTTTTCCCTCTCCTCCTACCCCCTGCTCGTGGGCTCTCTCTCTTTCAAACAAATAAATAAAATCTTTAAAAAAAAAAAAAGGTGAATTAATGACTATATTGAGAGATGGATATGTGTGTGATACAGTAAATACAGCAAATCACTGATTAGAGAATCTAGATATACATAAGTGTTCATTGTAAGATTCTTTGACTTTTCTATAGTGTTTGAACATTTTCATAATAAAATTCTAAAGTACCTAAATCTTTATAATAAAAATACATGATTTCCTGTTTCTCTTCCACAGTATTCAGTGCACTGCTTTTCACATTTAGGGTACTTACATACAAAATGTAATGGTTTCATAGCTTTAAAAATATTAACTTTAATTAATAATCTGTATGTCAGTTAACCACAGCTTATAATTTTACCCAATTCATCTAAACCTAAATGTTTACTAAATTTTTACGTTTTACAGCTCCTTCACTTATGTTCATGTGTGACTGACATAGTTGGGGCAAATGTTCTTATACTTATTTAGAATAAGGTTAAATGATATGCCAAGGCAGCTGTGGAAAACCAAATCTGACTTTTAACTCAAGGAATTCTCCATTATAAACCACACACTTGGAAAAGCCCTAGGAAAACTATCTAAAAACTTTCCCCATTTCACTAATGAAACTCATTTTATGATTTTTATTTACATTTTTCTGTGAATGGAATGGTTCTACAAAGAGAGTTTAGCTTTTGCCCCCCTTACATCTTATGTGACTTCCAAAAGAAAAATACAAGTGTTTTTTAAGCACTGTTGGGTATTTTAACAGAGATTCTTTGAAATTTAGTTTTAGAGGGGCGCCTGGATGGCTCAGTTGGTTAAGTGTCCGACTCTTGATTTTGGCTCAGGTCATGATCTCAGGGTAGTGGGATCAAGCTCCCCCATTGGCCAAAGCTCATGCTCAGCACATAGTCTGTTTGTCCCTCTCCCTCCGCCTCTCCCCCCACTTGTGCACGATCTCTCTCTCTCAAATAAATAAATAAAATCTTAAATTCAGTTTGAGATTCAAATAATTATAGAGATGGAAGCAGTTTTAAATGTTACCTAACATAATCTTATTTTACAGATTCAAAAGTTTATTCCTAAGTGTTAAGCAATTAGCTCAAGGTTCCAAAGCTGTTAAAGGCAGAAGCAGTATTAGAACCCAGATCATCTAACTCCCTAACCAGCGCTCATTCTAATAAACCTTAAAGCTATCACTGCTCAGTTATCTGAGCTCATTAACTCAAGTCATAGACTAATGTGAAAGACCAAGGCCACAAATGGGCCTGTTAACTTTAAATATTCTGCATACTTTATTTTCTAATGGTCTTTTCCCATCTTAAGACTTTTACAAGTATCTGTATTTGTCAGGCACTTTGATCACATTTGAAGTCAGCTGCTGTTGTGCTGATCTAATCTGAGGAGCAGCTGAAGGGTGAAGAGGGTGCAAGTAATGGTGGAAAGACCCCACATAAATTTCTCTGGCCAAATATTTGTCAAATAATTCAGTCTGTTGAGGTTATCTTCAAGAATACCACTCCCTACAAAATGGCTCATAGCACAAAACTTCCTACAAATAGGTCAGTGATACTTGAAATTATTTTTCATTATCTTTGATTAGACATACATTTATAAGGTCATGGTTTTTTAAATTCAAGTCTTTAGACAACACGTTTATGCCTACATTGGAACAGATAACTCTCATAGCAACTTAGTTAGAATCCAGACCCCTGTTCTTCAATTTATAGCCTGATATTAGCCCTAGACCTCTGGAATTTGAATATATAAAAGATACGACCTTTTTCTTAAACGTTGCATTTCCTCTAATTGTTAGGTAGGCAGAAGCACCACAGCAGGTACTAAAACCAATCGCCCCTCCAAGGCTCCAAACGTTCTGCCCCACCAAAGTAGTAAAACTTACTAAGTTTTGTTTTGTTTTATTAATCAAAAAAGTTCTCCTTCACTTTCCTCCCTCCCACGAATGCTCAACTTAAAGTAGGAGGGGGACCGCAGAAGCTAGGAATTGCGTTCAGGCGGTGGCTTAAAAGGTTGTTACAATCCCTACCACCCGGCCCAGCTCGGTTTTACCACCTCGGAACCACCCGGAGTTTCCCCGGGCGGTTACTCAAGGTCTGGGCGCCGCAAAGAAAACCATGACCCCCACGGAGCTGCCTCGCTCTCTACGGCCAAGCCCGCGCCCCCATGACCTCCAATGGCTGGAAAAAGGAGCCTTGAACTGCCCGCTTTTTCTACAACTGGCCCGCACTCCCTCCCAGGCCAGAGCAGGGAACAGGGTACGGGGACAAAAGGAGGGACACTCCTGCCACATGAGGAAAACCCCATCACCTGGAACTCGGCGAACTCCTCACAGTTCACACCGCCACTGGGCGCCGCCATATTAGACAAACGCGAGGCCCCCGCCGCGAGCCAATCACCACGGAGCAAAGGTGTCCGCGTCGCCGCCTAACAAAATTTATTCCGAAGGCAATCAGCTAGGAACCTAAACTAAACTAAGGTTTGTCTTTCCCCTGGTCCTCAAATACGCCCAAACCTGTAAACCTGCTGTCCTTCCTTTCGCTTCTACCGCTTTAACACGGCCGGCCGGCCTAGGTATATCGGAGAATATTAGAATTTGAAGGGATCGTTTTACTCCAATCCCGTTTTTTTTCCCTTTTACACAAAGGGAAACAGTTTGTTGGTCGCAGCAACCCGGTAGTTCGAGTAGGAAATCTAGAGTAGAAGTGAGGTTTTTCTTAACCCTCCCACTTCGTTATTTACCTCCCGTCCCTTGAGCAGAGGGGCCTTTGTTCGTTAAGAATTTGGGACTACTAAGAAACGTTTTTTAAAAAAAGACTACTGACAGTGTGGGGTAAGGGTTGAATAAGGTGTTCAGGTGTGGAAATAAAATGTTTGGTTTTATAAAAATAGGCAAATCAAAGAAATAGGAAGCATACGTGTGAATTTCTCTGGTAGACTGAGAAATACTCTCAAAGGCAGTAAGACGTGGGGTCGATCAGTTACTAGGAGCCCAGTTGTGTGTTTTTGGTAAAGGGATATTGAAAAAGCTGGAAAAACAGTACTGAAATACTGGTTTACCTAGGCAGTGTGATTTCAGGGTCTACACAAGTCACAAAAGTCCTACAGTGAGCACATTTCTATTTTAAAGGGTACTTTCTTAGACGCAGGGAATGACTGCAAAGGCCCGTGACACCCAAATCCCACAAAAACATTCTTAAGGACGCGTCCAAGCACTGTGCGGGGCTGAACCGGGCTCACCGCCCGCATAGTCTGCGCGTCACGCACGTACCACACGCTCCGCGCATCATGCAGGCCCCGCCCACACGCTCAGCGCATCACGCGTGACCCGCTCGGTCGGCCTTCAAGTACCCCTCGTCTTGCCTGCTTGCGCCGTCCGCCTCTTTCCTATTGCGGGCGTTTGGTGACTTTGAATGCGCCAGCGCCCGGGAGGCGCTGTCGGGTCAGCGGAGTAGGCAGCCATGGAGAGCCTGCGCGGCCTGCGCCAGGCGGCGGGTGAGACGCGGGCCGGGCTCGGGGAGGTTGGGAGGCCACCTTGGCTGCTGGAGATTGAGGAATCCTGCCGCTTCCCCAAATCTGGTAGTTGCTCGGTTTCATCGCGCACTCTCAAGTGGCTCGTAATCATACCCCAATAATGGGAAAGAGCAAAGGCTGAGCGAGCAACTGCTAAGCAGGTAGTGGGGGCTGGCCCAGAGAGACCGTCGCTCCTGGCCCTCCATCCACCCAGCTCCCACCAATTTAACGAGCCCTTGCTCCCCGATCCTTATCAACACCCCCATCCCCAGTGGCCTCTGAACTCAGTTCTTAATGCACCTGCCATCCCTAGAACTCCCCCGTTGTCTGATTGATTCAGCTTTTCACCCTAACCTCTCCCGTCCGTAGCTTTGCTTGAGTCTTGAGTCTCCCCAGCCCCCCACCATCTCAAGAGTTTATCCCGGCTCTCAGAAAAAACCTTTAGTCTAGGGTTTCCTACCCACTTAGTGTCTGATTGGAAAGGGATTTAAGGGCTTACAGAATAATAGTAATTGTTTTCCTAAAATGGGGGATACATTTCTTTTAAACAATTCTACGATTAAGTGCTTTGAATTTTTTGGAGGAAAGTGTTATGTAGAATCTGCAGTTTATTTTTCTAGTAGACATTTGTGTAATGGGTATTTGGAGTCAGAGCTTAATTTGTCTTCTTGGGGAACCAACAGAGCTTAGTAGGGGCTGAGAAATCAAAATGTTTGCCGCTTGGTTTTTTTCTAGGCACCAGGGCAAATCACTTTTGATCACCTTTATGAGCTTTGATAAGGTGTAATGACTGATCTTCTATTCCTTGGTAGCAAATTATTAAAGAGTTGTTTATTTCAAATTTTAAAGGAAGAATCGCCCCAAACTTGCCTGTTGAAATAACCTAAATGTACATTGCAAATGTAAATGAAGTAATGTAAGAAAAAGTTATCTTTTATATTCTTATTTTGTGTTCCAATGGAGAATGGACTGGAAAACGTGTCTCAAACAGAAGAATATTATATACTTCCTTTAAAATAAACATTCCCTCCACTAAAAAAGATTGATTTCATTGATTTGTTCAGCTTTGTTGGACTAATTTACCTAAAATCTTTTGTGTACATCCTTTTGACCTGTTAGCTGTTACAAGGTAAGTGAAAGAATCATTGCTCTGGAAAAAGCTAAAATAGACTGAGTGAAAGGGACTTTGACTACATAGGAACTAAGACCCTAGGGTTTTAAGTAGTTTATCTTCCTGCCTTGAAAACATATTTATGCATTATAAAGATTCCAAAGCCTCTTTGCAGACTTTTGATATTTAAGAACCTCACTATTGACCACTCAATCAAAACAAAATTCCTTGAGCATTTTAAGAACAATTTATTTTATTCCAGATAGATCCACTAAGAATGTTACATGACAAACTCTTTCCAAAGGACCTTCTTTGAATGTCTCATGTTTTGTGAGCAACTCTAAGCAATTTGCCCTTTCACCCACTTGTGTCTATTTTATAGCTAAATACTTTGACATACGTTAACTTGATTGATTTCTTATAGTACCCTTCCTAGGTAAGTCTTATCATCCATTCTCCAATGTACAAGTGAATAAACATAGGTCAGATGGTTAAATGACTTGTTTAAGATCATTTAGCCATAAAATGTTAGAGCCAGGAGATGAATAAGTGCCTTCTAGTTCAGGAACTTGTGCTCTTTGTTTCATTCAAGATGCTTATTCAGGATATGTGTGTACTGTGTTTGTCATGGTTAATTGAGTTTGATGTGAAATGGAAGAGTCATGAAATGCAGGTATACTTGTGAAACAGAAGCACACATTTATGTGCAAATGGATTTTCAAGTAAGAAGACTGATTTATCAGGCAACCTTAACCAAAGGAATCGCAGATCAAATAGAAACCTAATCTAGGCATGCTTCACTTATCCAAAATATTATTTAGAATAAGATACTCTAGGTGAGTGAAATTTCAAATAGCCAAAGCTTAATCCTTTAAACGATGGACCTTTTTTGAATTATTTCTGTTGGAAATCTTTGCTGTACTTTCTTAGCAAACAGAATGTAGGTTTTTAAATCTATCATTTTGCAGATGTAGCTGGAGATACAGGTCAAAGTTGTTAACTTGTTGTTCTTGGACCCCTTTACAGATGAGTGGTCCTGTGAACCTCTGAAATTATATTCATATTTTTATGTTTTGGGAAGAGAGAATCTATAGCTTGCATCCATTCCTTAAAGCAATCTGTGCTCCTTGAGTTAAAAGGCACTGATAGGGTGATTTGGAACTAAATGGCTCCTGACCCATACTCCTGTGAGTTCCATGAGGGTAAAGACTGAATTGTTTTTACTAAATCCTTAGCACTTATCAGTGTCGAGCTCACAGGCAGTAGATATTCTTTGGAATAATTGTTATTTTTTTAAAGATTTTATTTATGGGGCGCCTGGGTGGCTCAGTCAGTTGAGCATCTGCCTTCAGCTCAGGTCATGATCCCAGGGTCCTGGGATGGAGCCCCGCATCGGGCTCCCTGCTCAGCGGAGAGCCTGCTTCTCCCTCTCCCTCTGCCTGCTGCTCTGCCTACTTGTGCTCTCTAACTCTTTGTCAAAAAAATAAAAACCTTAAAAAAAAAAAAGATTTTATTAGAGTGAGCGAGCACGAGCAGGAACAGTTATTACTTTCTACAGAGTAATTAAGTCAAAAGAATAGAATGGCTTTACAAGAATGTTCACACCTTCAGAAAAATTTTCTTGTCCTAAACTTTGCTGACTTACCAACAGATTTTAAAATGATTTTATTATTATACCAATACAGTGGACCATGGACAGCATCCTTGTCAGTTTAACGACATTCCACAGCATTAGAATCAAGAGATAAGGTAGAAGTCATGTAGTCTAGCCCCCTAATTTTATAGATGAGGAAACTTAAGGCCTCAGAGGGGAATTGACTTGACCTCAGAAGAGTCCTACAGGTACAAAGCTGGGACATAACCAATATCTCCTGGCTCCCATTCTGATTTTCTTTCCCCTGCATTCTGCTCCTTCATTGTCATTTCTGTTTGTTTTTGCTAACCAATCCTAAATGAGTACATGCCCATTTTTCCTGCTCCTCGGCTTTGCTTATCACTCCCTCCAGGGCTTGTCAACAGGTTTTTATTGAGCACACACTGTGTGCCCTGTACACGACGAAAGCTCTAAAGTGTGTGGACTCCCACTTTCCCTAGGGCTGGAGTTTGTTGCAGTTAATGAATATACCTATATAATACATCTGGAGAGCTTATGCAAGACAGTATATATTAAGTTCTGGATTAAAGAACAGATTTTAAGTGCTGCCATGGTGCTATGGAGCCAGTTCCTATTGGCTTTGTGCACATCTTTTCCCAATTAGTCATGTTACATTGGTAGCTTAAAATCTGCCGTGGTGAGGGTTATTGAAAAAACGCTACAAATCAGGGCTTTTCCTCACTGATCTCCTCCCAAGACCCAACATACCACTGGCTTTAACAAAGGAATCAAAGTGTAGGTTAAAATTACTGAAGGCTTCGTTGCAATAGAAGGTCTGGGAGAGAGACAGGAGCAAGGGTAGGGGCAGTAATGGGTCTGGAGAGGATATGGAAGGAGGAAGGACTACCCTGGATTTCAGTCAGGAATAGATAAGGTGTGGCCTTTTGAGGGTTTTGGACCACTTGAATTTGGGCAAAAAGGAAGCCTTCCAGCAGTAGTCATTAAAGAAGCATTTTTGGAAAATTAACATGGTTGCTACCTACAACACGAATAGCTACGACCTGTGAAGATGTTACAGAAATCCATGTGTGAGGTGATGATGGCAATGCCAAAAAAAGAATATATCTAGGAAGTGTTTTTGAAGAAATTGGTGTGGCTCCGTGAGACCTAGGGTGATTAAAGAAAGACTGAAGTTTTTGAGGTAGAGGGCTGAAGGAGTGTTGCCCTGTTGTCTGAAATAAAGGTAAGAAGGGATACTGCTGTGGCAGAGAGTGTCCATGCATTATTGAGTGGTAGGTGGCATTGAGTTATAGGCGAATGTGGGACCTCTCAGTCAAAGACCAGGGGACAAAGGAGGGGAGTCCTCCCTGAGGCAGATGAATGTGGGATAGAGGCAAAGACTGAATCCTGGAGGCCTGACATAGTGTAAGTAATAGGAAGTGGCAAAGAGGACATTAAAGATGTAGATCATAGGGATGCCTGGGTGGCTCAGTTGGTTAAGCGATTGCCTTCGGCTCAGGTCATGATCCTGGAGTCCCAGGATCGAGTCCCGCATCAGGCTCCCTGCTCAGTAGGGAGTCTGCTTTTCCCTCTGACCCTCCTCCCTCTCATGCTCTATCATTCTCTCTCTCTCTTTCAATAAATAAATAAAAATCTTAAAAAAAAAGATGTAGATCATAGAGGTCAGACATGAAGGGAGAGAATGTGGCAGTATAATGTTAGGAGAGACAGAGGCCTTGCAGAAGGCTGAGATCAGTAGAGTAAAATGGCTTCAAAGATGGGAAGAGTAGAATCAAATGAGCTAATGATGAGAGTCTAAAAAACAGTCATGGGACTAGAAAGATCACTAATGTTAGAGCGATTCTAGTAAAATGAGTGGGGGAAGAAACATTATAGTAAAATGTGTGGGTAGTGAGGCCAAGGTAGCAAGTTAAATACATGCCACTTAGTCATTTGAACTACGAAAGGAAGGAGATTAGTATTTTATTTATAGGAACTGTTGAGAATAAGTGATTGTTTTGTCAAAGATAGCGTACCCTCAGTGCCACTGTGGTATAATGAGGCAAGAATTCTCATCATCTACAGGTAGAAGTGTAAATCAGTTCTGCCTTTCTGGAAAACAATTGTTCTATTCTTAAAAAGGTTCATATTTTTTAACCCTGCACTACCAGGATTCTATATAAGAAATAATCAGAAATGCCATCAAAGATTTATGTAGAAAACTGTTCATTTGTAATAGTGAAATTTGGAAACATCCAGTTAAGGGAATGATTGAAT